TTCTGAGAGCAGTTGGGTCATTTTTTTCTTAGCCTGTTGTCCTTACCATAAAAAAGTGAAAACTTTCAGATCCTTTGTAAAAGGTCGAGTGTATAAAAGAACACACTGGACTGATTCTTGTTCCTGTGACATTTCAGCACAACACAGAAACACTTTATTCTACTGATGTGCGATAATAGTAGATAGCCATGCAAGTCCAGTCGACACAGATACACACACACAGAGAAATGCTATGCGTTGCTATAATCTGTTTAATGTAAAGGCAGCTACAACATGTTCACATGCACGTTTTCCACAAACTCCTGTTTGCATAAACTCTCCCATTCCATTAAAATACATGCTTGAAGTATTTATGAGATTACTGATGTCATTAAGCTGACTTGGCCAGACCAATGTTCTGGGACTGGGCATTAAAGACGGCATAGTATTCCCGGATGAAAACATCTCCCAAGATCCAGAGCTGCATGGTGCCACCCTGACCAAAGCCAGTCATACAACCAGAGGAGCTCTGTGGACAGGGGAGAAAGAAAAGATATATTTCTTCAAATCTTCATTATTGTATTGTATTATTTGGTGCTGTGGTTGGCAGGATGGTCTTACTGACCTGAGAAACATAGGCAGATGCAGGGACTGTGAAGGCGTTTCCATTGAGAGTGAAGGTGACATCGGGCATGCTCGGGATGTTCTGGCAGTTCACTATAGCCTGTCAGCAGAACAAAGTCAGAGGCCATGAGGCAGAAGAAAATCTGTTTATTGGTATTTTACAGTTTTCCAACTGAAGCAGCTATCCGAATCCCACTTAATTATTTTTATTTCAAAGTTCTGACGTCAGGGTCTTAAATGTCTGTTTACTCTGGGTTCAGAAAAAGGGGAAAATTTGTGTCACGATGGTATGACTCACATCTCCTGACTGGTCGGTTGAGGCTCCAACCCAGCTATTCAGATTGTTGATGTCAGTGGTTGGACCAACAATCTGGGAGGTGCCAGTGTCGATGATGGCCTGGCACCCGCCAGAGCAGGCTACAGTCTGCCCGTTGATGGTAACACTGTGAAGTGGAAAGTTGAATTACAGTCAAGCCAAGAAGTTTTATAACCTTGTGATTTTTTGTGTCTGATATGAAGCTGTAAGCAAAGATGTTGGCTATGAAGAAAACAGCTTTTGGATGACTTATTGGCACCTGTCCATGTTGATCTGCCAGTAGGTGGCAGAAGACAGGGGGATCCAGGTGATTGTTCCAGTGTAGTGGGTGCTGTCAGTACCACCAAAGACCACCTCGCTGCCCTGTTCACTATTGCTAAGATATTACACACACACACACACACACACACACACACACACACACACACACACACACACACACACACACACACACACACACACACAGAGAGAGAGAGAGAGAGAGAGAGAGAGAATCATATCATAAATTCACAAAATATACTCAAAAAGAAAAACCCAATAAAGATTTTCCAGCCAACTGAATTCCATTTCATTTCAGTACCCGCTCAGGTAGACTGAGAAAATGGGCTCTGACACCAGCCCCTGAGTGATCATGTTGTTAAAAACTGGTACAACATTGTCAGAGGCGATGCTCTGGAAGGCCAGTCCTAAGATCCCATCAGCCTGCATGTAAGTCATGAAAGAAGCCTCTGTCTCACTCAATCCAAACACCTGCTTGGCCACAGAGATGCCGCCCACCTGGACATGCAAAACAGCTGTCACTCACAGTTCAGCAAACCACAAAGAGATGCCCATCTGAAGTCTAAATAGACTAAGTTTTTTGTTCCACGGGTTTTGGTTACCTCAACAGTGTCGCTGCCCAGTAACCCAGTCATGCTGCCAGTCCCGTACTGGATGGACAGAGACTGGTCACCCCACTGGAAGGTGGATGACTGTGATGGGTTGAATTGATTGTGGTTCTCTGCAGAGGAATGCATTTTTAAGTTTTGCAATTTTATACAACTTGGATGTCTAGCATTTCAGTGATGGCAATGAGTGTTGTTCTGCTGGTAAAGTTACAACTAGAACAAGCTAGAAAGAATGTGCTACCAAAGTAAACCAATTCATTATGTGGAGAATCAGAGTTGCAAGTGCAAATACTGCAGAAATCTCAAGTCACTGTGATAATCAAACTGTGCTGCTCTGTTATTATTGCTAAATGACTTCTACTAATGCTCGAAGGATTCCAGTGTTGCTAGCGGTCAAGTTCATCTAGGCTTGTATATTGATTTCGCCTCACGAGTTAAGAGCATATTTTCTGCTGGAAAAAAGTTACATTATGGATAAAATTCATGAATGAAAAAGAGCCTAAAATGAAAAAGGGATATTTTTGAACAGTATCTAATAACAGAAGTACACATTTCTGTATGTTCCAACCATACTGGCCAGGTTGTACCATGTTGTCTGAGCTTCGGCAGTCATCATAGTGGCACTCACCACAGGCTGAACTGTTGCAATACACTGAAGGGACCCACAAGTTGGAGGAGCCAGTGTCAAAAATGACAGAGAAGGACTGAGGAGGGGTTCCAATGGAGATCGTACCATAGTAGGACAACTAGAGGGACAGATAAAGAAGGAACAAGTACACAGATGCAGATTCAGATTTAAAAAGACAATTTTGAAAAAGTAAAGCAAGGTATGTTTTCAACGACATGAACAAAATCGAAAGCTTTTTACTAATCTGGGCTTACGTCAGCGTCATTGGTCATGGACTCGGTGCCACTGCTGTAGAACTTGGCTGCTGGGTTGTATGGGTGACTCTTCCTGTACTCCTCCCACAACCCTTTCTCTTTGAGGGTTTGCCTGGCAGATTTTCCCTTAATCAGGGGCATCCTACATGTAGCAATGTGAGCAGAAAGTCATGCAATGAGCAAGGCAGGCCTGAACTTTACAGCTGGAGAAATGTCTGTGCGATATTCAGGTGAGCAGGAGGACCTTTAGATCTCCTCATAGGAACACGGAGAGTTTCACAATTTTTTATGTATTTAATGTCAAATACATAAAACAAATAAAGAAACAACCAATCAAGTCAGACTTACTTATGGAGACATTCAGCGAAAGCCACGAGGGCAGTCAAAACGACCAGCCACTTCATCATGTTGCTGTCTCTACAGGTAGACTCAGATGAGTGAACGTCCAGTTGCTGAGGCCAGCCCTTATATACAACTAATCAAGGTTGTTTTTCCGAAATGCCCTTTCCTATAAGCTGATATGAAAGATGGTGATAAGAAGCATATGATTTAGAAAACAGACTCTTATCTGGGGACAAATATCCCATTAAGCTTGTGAACACTGAAAGTGTTCAGGAAGATTGTAAAAAAAATGTTTTGTATGAACTTAAAAGTTGCAACTCTAAAAGTCAAACTTGTATTTACAGGGTATCTACTGAAAATGACAACTAACTTCCAAAGGATTGACTTTATTATTTGTCACATCATTTAAATACACTGTAAGTGCTAAACAGGTACACCAATGTGTTGGTGTGCAGTTCAGGAGATATGATGTCCAGACCTTCTACTTAATACCAGTATGCAAACTTTCCTCAAGGTTTCCAAAGATGTGAGCTTGAATTACTTGGAAAGGTTTATCTGATAACAATAAAACAAAGGTAGGACAAGCAAAGATGTAATCATGTGAAAGTGTGAGCCGTAAATTACAGAAACTTGTTTCCACCACTGTATTTATTTGCTTATTTTGCCATCCATAAGTCAAAATTTCTCATTATTATCTCAAAGTTTTGACTTAATAAACTGAAATTAGGGTTAGGTTTAAGATTTAGACAAACACTTTTTCTCAATTTTCATAAGTTCACTGAAAAACAATAGCTGTTTTTCTGTACTACGCTGCAGTAACATTTAACAAATTGGTAGCATAAAGTATTCACACCCAATAGAAGTAGCAATTATAGTACTCCAATCAAAACATACTCAATTACAGTTAGCAAAATGTAATCCTACATTAAACAAATGATGTAAGTGGCTAGTCTTTGAATTTATTCTGGTTTATTATTATTTGCTGTGCATTTATGTATAAGTGGTGTTTTATGCTGTAGCTAAGGCTGCAGCTCTTTATATACTGTAACGGTGAGCTGTATTTGATGAGCATTATAAATGTTTTCTATGTGGTAACTCGACCTAAAAAGTAAGTAGTTACTGCAGATGTCAAATAAATATAAGTACAAAGGACAATATTTTACACAGATGCAGTGGAGTATAAATATAAAGACCAAGTAGAGTAAGTAAAGGACAGCACAAGTACCTCACAGCTGCAGGGTAATACTCCCAGTTCATAACATCTCTGGTGATCTATACTACTTTTTCCCTTAATGTTTTCCTGTTATTAATTTTTTATTAGTTAAAGCTTTTGAAGTCCACGTGTCAGGTCATGATTTCACACTGGACACGGTACATTTCAATTTAAGACAGAAGAAACAAAGAACTACTAACGATTTAACATGAGGGAATTTCACCTTGACTCACGTATGCACTAATCAAATATATTATACAAGGTCAGTTTGCGTGTGAAAGTATTTGCACTAAGATTCTGTTTATGACCGTTATCACACCGTGATTAAAACCAGTTGACATTTCCATTCCATACTGAACATAATGTTTTATGCAACAATATTAACTGAGCCCTCTATAAAACACAACTTTATGTATATGTTTATTGACAGTAATACTCGAACACGTCTCATGATAAATTAATATAAAATGAGCATGAAAGAAACAGCAGATGTGCTAAAGGTTCACAAATAACTCTCGGGGTAACATTTGGCTTGTTAAATTAAAGCTGTCTCATGTTTATTGTAGATCTTGTTGGTTACACTTCCCTGTTTCTTTTTATGTGCTTGTTGTGTGCATCAGTAGAACCTATACATTTTAGTGCATAGAGTACACAAATGAAGAATAAAGTCACTGAAGAAGATTTTGATCCGCAGGCGGTTCAGATTTCCACTCTGTTTGCTGTTGTGCTTGCATCATTCTGGGTGTTCTCTCGTCCGTTAAAAGTCCATGTTTTTGAAGTCCTCAGTACACCTGTACTTGCTGTCAGCATACCTGGTGCACACCAAGTGGGGGAGACAGGGGCAGGTGTGATGTTGCCTTTTCCCTGGATAGGGTACCTGGAAGCGTGAAAAAGGGGAAAGGGAATGTAGCTTTGGGGTAATCTGACAGCTTAAATCCTTTATGAGCTGACAACTGGAACTGCAGGCCCTAAAGCTTCTCTTAATCAGTCTGAGTTTCAGAGATGGATGTGGTGTTAGTAGAAGTAATCGTTGCCTGTTCCAGATAATCAAAGAGATATATGGCTCAGATCTGCTGAGTAGAATCAATACCCCCTGCACTTATCAGCAGCTTTTCTAAGGCTTCAGCCAGCTTGACAGCAACCAGAATTTCTTAAAACAGGAAAGAAGGATAAACGTGTGTGTGTGCCTATGTGCGCGTATGTGTGTGTAACACTGGAAGATTATTATAACTGACATCACATTTATCCCCACCTTGTGGCTAAAGGGGTGGCACTCATCCCCTTCCACACCTCTTGGGACACACATCCTCAGACCCCTCAGCCATAGACTGACAGCACAGCAAAGGCCAAAACCACACTGCACATCTCTCTCACAAGCCTGCAGGAAAGATAGAAGGACAAGGTGGCAGAGGTCTAGACAAAAAGTAATAAAAGCAATTCTATTGTTGCCAGTAAATCAGTTTCATCTTCATATATGGTAATAGATATAGAGTTTATCTTTTCATATATATAACTTTTACTTATTGTAATAGAGATACCCTCCCATGTTTGGCGAGTGAAATCCATTTGATTTATTCCCTGTCCTCTCCCTAACCCATTTACAAATGAATAGCATTCAGGGGGCTGAGATAATTTCCTCTGATTTTTCCAGTTAACTTCAAGCGGGGGAGGATATGATCTGTCATTAGTCATTTGTAATGAAATTTAACAATATTATCCAGAGAAGTGATGTGTTCAGTTTTCATCCACACACAAAAATGTAAGTTAAAATAATTTAAAATAAAACTAAAAATTTATATATATATATATATATATATATTATATATATATATATATATATATATATATATATATATATATATATATATATATAAAAGGATTTTGTGATGATGAAAATATAATGATAGAAACAGACATTTTAAATATTTTTCTTGATTTTTTAAAAAATTATTTGAATATACTAGTGCCCCATTCCACTTGGAATGGGGCACTGAACTGAAGCAACAGTTACAGTTATGATAGACACAATGTAAAATGCACTTTCAATATGACAACACACAGATTGATGAGTTGATTAAAATATTGCTTTAGTCTGATAAATCAAAAACCTTAACATTGAGTTGCTCCATTAGAAATTTCCATCTTACCCCTGTGATAACAGCTCCTCTGCACCAGCTCCCAACAGACAACAGGAGGAAGGACAGCAGCACCTCCCTGAAACCCATGACAGCAACAAGAGAACTAGACTCTCTCAGCACCCCCAGCACCACACAACAACTGTGAACTGTCTCTGTGGCACGTCAAGCTGGTTCCCCGACTCTTCAGCCACTCCTCAACGTTTACTCAACTCCTTAGAGAAGGCAGCCTCCCTTTCTCCTTCTCTTTATCCACCTGTGACCCCCCCACCCAACACTCTCCCCTCCCTCTCTTCTTTCCTCCCTCCTCATGCCAGAAAAATCCCCCTTACACCCCTTCTGCCTGTCCACTCAGAAGCTCTGTCATCTCACCTATCCAGATGATGGCTTACGAAGACTCACTTTAGGGTTCGACTACATCGTCTCTGGACCGGAGCTGTAAGAGTTTCCACCAAGCTAGCAAAAACAAAAGAACCAATTCAGGAGTTGACAAACTAAAATAAATCTGACATGTCTGTGGAAGAAAGGGCACAAGTCCTGAGCTATTTGTCAATCAGAAGTGATCAAGACAAAACAAATAAAAATCAAAGCCATCTAATGAGTTTACTGACATTACCACATTACTGACTTGTGGGTTGGTCTTCTGGTAAAACAGAAACAAGAACGCAATATTTCTTATTTATCACATTACTGTATGGCAGGGGTAGGCAACCTTTCTGATGACGAGTGCCATTTAAAATTTCCTCAGAAGTCAGTGTGCCATATGATTGCATTAGCAATAAATTTAATAACGCTCTATATGAACAGTTACGCACTATATAGAACCACTTTATAGAATTATATTTGTTCGCAGATGTTGGCAGCTATCAGTGAATAGTTATCAGCTATTTTGAAACAAAAAAAGACTTTTTATCCATGACAGCAAATGAACTGTACAACAGAAAATGCAAATGCTATTTATGGTCTCCTCACAACAATGATAAGAACAATAAACTGGGCCAATATGGCATGTCTGTTAATACAGGGAAAATGTGATCTCTGGTCTCCCACTCAGAGACACAGGTCTCCGAGTGTCCAGCATTCAGACGGCTGCCTGAGGACTCATGTGAGAGAAAATCCGCTCACACAGATATGTAGAGTCAAATACTGTCAATAAGGCCTCTGCAATGTTCTGAAGACAGTTAAACTTGTCAGGTAGTGATGTCCAGCAGGTGAAAATGCAGCTCCATGAACACTCAGAGCTGTGGATTCCAGCTGCTTCGATGTTGCATTAACTGGCATTAACTCAGCCAGTTAATGTGAGACAAATCCAGCTGCTCATTAAAGATTTCTGGTTTGATCAGAAAAAAAAAATTGGTCCATACACCTGAAAGTCCCAAAAACGCCTTGTGTCTCAAGCCTACGGATGTATTCGTGTATTTCCGTGGTGCTGATGCTGTGCTGAGCGGACAGCTCCTGAAGCTTTTGAAATGTCGGAATATGGAAAGCTAACAACGACCCTCTCACCAGTAGGCTAAGTTGGGGTTGTTAGCTAAGATACCGTCATGAAGAAGCAGCACAACTAATGTGTCTATGAGAGCTAATTTGCGATGTGCACCGCTGACGCGGCCATTTATTTTTTAATGCACCTTCTCATATTAATTCACTGCGTGTCGTGCCCAGGGCTGGACTGGGACAAAAATCGTCCCGGGCATTTTGACTAGGGACCGGCCCACCAGGTATTAAAGCCATTAAGCCTTTAAATGAAAACAAACGCTGTTGTGACAGTGATGTACAGTCTTGTTGGTATATATATGATTTCTATATATTTTACGTCAGATAAAAACTTTGGTTGTAAGATTCAGATAATTATTTAATAACAGACATTTTAAATGAGAATAAGAAAGTATTTCCTTGTGCCCCCCTTTCCCTGTTAATGCCCTACCTGCCCCCCTGGCAAAACTTTGCTAAACGCGCCCCTGCACAGTTACCAGCTGTCAGCTAAGTAAAAAAAGGATCCTGGTGTTATTTGTCTCTCAGAAACAGTTCATAACTTCCCTTCAACTCAGTCATGTCACCTAAAAGTTAAACCTGTTTCTCCATCACAGCCCTGATGATTCAGTAAGGACATCTCCTGGTTTCCTCTTCATGTTTCCCTCTCACCAGATAACCAAACTGACATCATGACCAGCAGCTTTTACAGCTGTGGCTCCAGCAAACATCAGCTGATACTAGAAAGTAATATTAAATACATTCTAACAACAGCTGATCAAGCTTAAACGCGCTGCTGTTGTTTAGCACGACATCCGGCGGTTTCCTCTTTCTGGCACAAAGTGGGCGATAAACAAACAAGAGAGAAAAGCCAATCAGCTGATCATTGATCAGTTTCATAATTGAAGTAGCAACAGGAGAGGGAGGGGCAGAGAATGGGAGGAGAAGAGGCAGCTGCTGCGTAAAGACACAGAATAACTCCAGCTTTGTGTCTTTTTCATTGTAGCTGAAGTCCGGGACAAACTGCATCCCTTCTCAGCTCAATACGAAACACGTAATAATTTCTCTGAATACGGACGATTCGTCTTTTTACTGGACAGTTGGCAACTCTACTAACTAACCTTATGAATAAAATAAAGTTCAACATCAGTAACATCATAGCACCCACCCAGCTGTATAGAAACTCCGTCATGCTAGCTAGTACGCAGTACGAGTTACTGTAACTGATTGTAAAAAGTCAGCACAATGAGAATACTCGTGCCATCAGTTAACCCTTTCGCGTGCCAACTGTGGCACGTGTGCCTAGGGTTGCCGACCCCTGCTGTATGGTGTGTGTCATGATGCTATGTGTTTTAAAGAGGTTTAAATGAATGATTAAAACCTCGCACCACTCCTCACTGAGACGTCGAAGCTACAGTGCCACTAAAGTGATACGAGAATAGGAATAATGAGTCTTAATGTCTCTGAATTATGGTAGTGAGGATCGCAGTGATACATCGACTCTGAGTCAGGTCTCTATTTCAGATCCAGCTCATTTGCAGATTTACTGCAGCTCTAATGTATAGGTCACGAATAACTGGATTTATACCAACCTCTGGTTGTACAAGATTAAAGATTTCCTGTGTGTGTGTGTGTGTGTGTGTGTGTGTGTGTGTGTGTGTGTGTGTGTGTGTGTGTGTGTGTGTGTGTGTGTGCAGGCCTGTTCTACTATCTTTGGAGGACAAATTTTAATTTGAAATTAGGGAAAAGACTTAGATTTAGGGTTTCATTGAGAATTCAGTAAGGTTAGAGTGACTGGCTTTGCTGTGACGGCTAAGGTTACAGCAATGGGCTTATGGATTTAGTATTTTATTGGCTGTCCTCATGAAGATAGCAGGAGTTACTGTGTGTATGTGATGTGTACGTGATACATGAGCATGCATGTATGGCATAAAAAGCAGGCTGAAAATTGTTCCTTATGCACAGACTTATACTTTTACATGCGTCTGTGAGTACGTGACTGCTTGGACAGTGATGAGCAGCTGGTTGTCAGAGAAAACGGGCAGACTGTGATTTAAGTTGCGAAAAGAGAAATATGAGCGAGAGAAGACGAGAGCCAAAGACAGAAAAAAATTAGAGGGAAGGAGGGAGGGGGAGAGCACCCCTTGGGTTACTCAGCAGGACATTACCCTGCTGCTGCACAGGTGATGGATTCCTCCAATGCAGTGGCCATATAATTACATTCACCCATTTTTGCCCTGTCAGCAGGAGCACTGAAGCCAAGCCATCCTGGGACAGGCAGCAGAAATCATGTGGAGGTGTGCCCAGAGGCCTCACACTAACTTCTAAAGAAATTGCATTAACAAAATCTGCCATCAAGAGGGTACAAGAAACAAGATTTCTGTTTTAAACCCAAAGTATTATTGCTATATTTTACATGCAATAAAAGCCATTGTTACCGTCCTTGTATTTATTATGCTGAGTCATTCTGTTATGTTACATGGATGGTGAAGATTGTGTTTGAAGGGGTGATTTTGCTTCTCAGTACCGAGGAGCACCTTCGACATTGGAGTTGTTTTAGGCAACCTCAGCTTATTTGTGGGTGTCGAGTGACTGCTCCATAGGAATACATTGGGAAGTGAATAATCAATAAATATATTCAGAAGAAAAACTAAACTAATCTGATTTTATATTTATACACCTCTGAGTACCAAAATCAATTTCTAGTGGAGGTGGGTATGAAGAGAGTAACAGATCAATGATGAAATATAGAGGAGCAAGGTTTCATTACATAACCTATCTAGTGTAGACAGTTACTTCAGTGAATGAGGACCTCGGGACACGGAAAACTGTACTGAATATTATACTCATGAATCAAACACTTTTCGCAGAGTGGGGAATATGAAATCTCATCATGATGTAAATGTTACGGTCCTGTGTTTTGTCCACTGTTTGTTTTTTGTTCAGTGTTTGGGTTTTGAATTTTTCCTTTTTACATTTGAGTCTATTTGGGTTTTTGTTTGTTTGTTTATTCATGTTATGCAAAGTTGTTGTTTTGTTTTTTTTAATTTTTTTAGTTCTGGCTACTGTTTAGTTTTCATGGTGTTTTGGATGCCTTTTCAGATGGGTAACAAACTGCTTGTTTTGGATCCATGATCTTTATTTAGCTTCAGTTCCTAGTTTGAGTTATTTCTCATGCGTTAACTTCCTTCTGTGCTTGCCTCTGTTATTCCCTTCATCTTATCTTTCTGTGTCCTCCAGTGTTCCCTTCTCCAGTGTTCCCTTCATTTTTAATATGAGCTTTCCTGTCTCTGTGTTTATTTGTAGCTTTTGGATTGTTTCCTGCTTTAGTGTGATTTATTTCTCTCTGATTTCCTGTTTTTGAATCGTATTTTCTGTCTGTTGAATTGTCTTGATTACTTTCATCTTTGTCATGTTGGTGTTTTGTTCCCTGTGCATGTGCTTTTGTTGTCTTCAGGTCTCCTTGTATTCTTTGTACTTTGTGCTTTTGGACTTATTATCAGCTTTCTATTGACTCCTCTGTGTTGTGTCCTGCATTCTGGCTTCATTGCACACAAAACTGTGACATACACTCACTGGCCACTTCATTAAATATGCAAGTTTGATGACTCTTTATTTAG